TTTTTATAGAATAAATAATGAATAATGTGAAAAAATAAAAAATTACAGACAATGGCTTTAGTGGCCACCTACGGTTTGTTTCTACGGTCCGTAGGTTGGCCTACGGTCCGTGGATCCCCTCCGTAGGTCAGAAGTCCTAAAGAGTTGGGCTTTGATGGGAACCACAGAAGTGAAGAACGGTCCGTAGATTGACCTACAGACCGTAGTCCACCTTCGTGGTTCCACACTTAGTGAAATTGCTTTGTGCCACAGACCACGGACCTGATCTACTTTCCGTAGATGGGGTCTCGTGGATCTAGTCTGTGCTAGGTATCATACGCTCTTCACTTCGAAACCAAATTTTATCAATTCAAACCATGGACCTTAGCTTAATCATGCATTTCAACATAATTTTATGCTAGTTTTTCATCCCAAGGGTTCCAATTACTCAATTTTCAACAGGTATTGCATATGAGGCTAGGAACCCTAAGTCAAAACTTGCATTTAGACTCTTATTACATTGATTTTACACATTACAAAGACAACACAATCACAATCTGTCGTCCCAAGGGTGTTTCTAATTTTAGTTTAGCATGCAATTTCATATAACAACTACCCAAGGTCAAGAGCACTTCTGACTTCCTGTAACAACAATGAACCGGAATTCAAACTGAAGGGAAAGTTGATTACCTTACACGTAAAGGAAATGGGTGATTGTGTGATGACTCTAGACTTCCAACAACTTTTAACTCGCCTTTCGCACCGAACCCGGATACCGAAACCTCTGGGAATTTGGAATTAAGGAATTTGGGAGAGAGGAGAGTTAATTGGGAATATGGGAGGATGAATGTCGAGATATTAATGGGGGAATGGTGGTAATATAGAGGGATTTTAGGATTTTGAGGGGTTTAGAAACGGTTAGGAGGAAAATATGGGAAGTGGAGAATGATTTGAAAAAAAAGGGTTTTATTTAATAGAGGACCGGGTCAGGTCAGGCAGAACTAGGGTTTGGACCCATGAGACCCCGCCTACAGTCCGTGGGTAGACCTACGATCTGTAGATGGGGTCCGTAGGACACTTTTACACTTAGGAAAATTTAGAAGTCTTACCTGGGATCTACAGACGCCATTCACGGTTCGTGGAATGAACAACAGACCGTCGATGGGGTCCGTAGACCTCTGCACAGACCTTTCTGTAGATTTTTGCTTTTCGCCCCTGCACATGTAGCAACCATTAGGCCTTTGTTTTTACATTTTCTAGAAACTTTTTAGACACGGACCCTATGATATATCTAGCCAACACTAAAACAAAAATAAAGCACCAATCTAAAGGAATACAAAAAAGCAAATAAACAAAGAAAACTACTAAACCATAAAGAAGAACCTATGGTTGCATAGATTGTACATCTTGGGTTGCCTCCCAAGCATCACTTGATTTAACCTCTTGATTACTCAGACTTCATCAAGATAGTAGGCCTCAACAACTTCTTGCACACTTTCCGCGTTTCTCAGATAGATCTTGATATGTTGCCCATTTACCTTAAACCTTGTTCCCTCACTGTTCTCAAGCTCCACCACTCCATGGGGGAGCACTTGTATGACTAAGAATGGCCCGGTTCACTTGGACTTGATCTTTCCCGAAAACAAGCGCAACCTAGAGTTGAATAGAAGCACAAGATCACCCACAACAAATTCTCGCTTTTCAATCCTTTGATCATGATCATTCTTCATCTTCTCCTTGTACAAGACTGAACTTTCATAAGCTTTTAGGCGAAACTCATCAAGCACATTCAAGTCACTCATTCTCTAATTTGCTGCGGTGCCCTAATCCAAATTTAGCTTCTTTAGCGCCCACACGGCCTTATGCTCTAGCTCTACCGGCAAATGACAAGACTTCCCATTTACAAGTTGGTAGGGGGACATACCTATGGGAGTCTTGAATGCGGTGCGATAGGCCTATAGAGCATTATCAAGCATCCTTTACCAATCAGTTCTATTAGCATTCACAGTCTTAGCCAAAATCTGCTTGATATCTCTGTTAGATACTTCAACTTTCCCACTAGACTGGGGATGGTAAGGAGTGGCCACATTGTGGCGGACACCATATTTCTCAAGTATTGCCTTAAACGACTTATTACAAAAGTGGGAACCTCAACCACTGATAATTTCCCTAGGTGTACCAAATCTGGAGAAGATATTCTATTTCAAGAATGCAGTGACACTTTTACCTTCAGTGTTGGGAAGTGCAATTGCTTTCACCCACTTCGACAGATAATCAACCGCAACAAGAATATACTTCATCCCATGTGAACTCATAAATGGACCCATAAAATCAAAACCCCATACATCAAACAACTCTATCAGCAATATAGGATTCATATGAAGCTCTTGCCTCTTTCAAATCCCTCCTTATCTTTGGCAACGGTCATAAGACTTGGCGAAATCATGAGCATCTTGGTGGATGGTAGACCGGTAATACCCACACTATAGGATTTTATGCGCAGTTTGAATATCACTATGATGCCCACCAACAGGCAATGATTGGCACGCCTCTAGTATACTCAACATCTCGACCTCAAGCACACAACGACGAATAATCCCATCAGCACAATTATGACACAAGTAAGGCTTATCCCAAAAGAACTTCTTCACATCATGCATAATTTTTTTCCTTTGGTGAAAAGACAAATCCGATGGCACTAGATCACTTGCCAAGTAGTTAGCAAAGTCTGCGAACCAAGGAATCAGATCATGAGAAGTAGCCAATACCTGTTCATCTGGAAAAGAATCATTAATTTCAGCCCTATCACCAAGCTTGAGCATAGCTTATTCCTCCAATCTAGACAAGTGATCGGCAACCTGATTTTCTGTCCCCTTTTGTATCTTTTACCACAAAGTCAAACTCTTGCAGAAACAACACCCATCTAATCTCCCTCGGTTTTGCATCCTTCTTAGCCATCAAATATCTCAATGCAGAATGCTCAGTATGCACAATGACATTAGTACCAAGAAAGTAGGATAGAAATTTCTCGAATGCGAAATCCACTGCAAGAATCTACTGTTCAGTCACTGTATAGTTCTTTTGAGCCACATTTAGAGCTTTGCTAGCATAGTAAATTGGATGAAGAGTCTTCTCTCGCCTCTGTCCCAATACCACCCCAAGCGCTACTCCACTCGCATCAACATTACCTCAAACAGTTGTCCCTAATCCGGTGAAATAATGAAAGGTGCAGTAACTAACTTCTCCTTCAACTCTCCAAATGCTCTCAGACAAGCATCATAAAAATCAAACTTATACTCTTTTTCGAGCAGTTTGCACCATGGAGTGCAATTTTAGGGAAATCCTTGATGAACATCCTATGGAAACCTGCATGCCCAAGAAAACTTCTAACACCTTTAACAGAGATAGGTGGTGGTACCTCAACTTTCACTCTATCAACCTCAATACCCTTCTTAGAGATTCGATGACCCAGAAGTATCCCTTCTTTCACCATGAAGTGGAACTTCTCCCAATTAAGCACAAGATTGCACTTTTCACACTATTTAAGCACCTCGGTCAAATGGTCTAGACAATGATCAAATGAGTCACCTACCACAGAGAAATCATCCATAAATACCTCAATAGTGTCCTCCACCATATAAAAAAATATCGACATCATACAACACTGGAAGGTCACTGGAGCATTACACAACCCAAATGACATTCGTTTGAATGTGAAAGTCCCATAAGGGACAGTGAAGGTGGTCTTCTCTTGGTCTTCCGGATTTATAGAAATCTGATTGTAGCTCGAATAACCATCAAGGAAACAATACCAACCCTTACCCGCAAGTCGGTCCAACATCTGATCCATGCACGACATAGGAAATTGGTCTTTTTCTATCCAAGCATTCAATTTTCGGTAGTCCATGCAGACTCTCCATCCAGTCACGGGCCGCATCGGAACAAGGTCATTTCTCTCATTAGGTACCACAGTAATCCCACCTTTCTTGGGCACACACTAAACATGACACACCCAACTACTATCTGCAATGGGATAAATCACTCCAGCATCCAACCATTTGATGATTTCCTTCTTAACTACCTCTTGCATAGGCGGATTTAGTGTTCTCTAGTGCTCAATATTAGGCTTGTGATCCGACATGAGTTGAATTTTATGAGAACAAATACCAGGAGGAATCCCAATAATGTCCGCAATAGTCCACCCAATAGCTCTCTTGAACCTCTTCAACACGGGAACCAATGCCTCAACTTGTGCCACATTCAAATCTGCCACAATGATGGCCGATAAAGTACTAACTTTCCCCAAGAATACATACCTCAAATGTGATGGTAGAGCCTTAAGCTCCAATTTTAGAGCCTATTTAACAGACGGTCTAGTAGATGGAGAGTCGCCTATTTAACAGACGGTCTAGTAGGTGGAGAGTCGCCTATTTAACAGACGGTCTAGTAGGTGGAGAGTCGCCTATTTAACAGACGGTCTAGTAGGTGGAGAGTCGCGATTATTCATGTCTAACTCCAATCTTTTTGGTTTTGAACAGAATTCAAACCTATCAAGTGCAGCGACCAATTTATCATAGTCTTCAATACCATTATCCTCAAGTTCATCATTACTGCTGCTAGTGCATCAACACCCAACCTCGCTTCAATAGGCACCTCAGAACCACTCTCTACAATATGTGTCACCATAGATACTGATTTGAGCTCACTACTCTGCTTCATAGACCTAGAGATATTGAAAGTTGTCTCTTCATTATTCAATCGAAACTTCATCTTCCCTTTCTCCATATCAACCAAAGCGTGCCCAATGGCTAGGAATGGTCTCCCAAGGATAATGGGAACCTCAAAGTCAACATCACAATCAAGTATCACAAAATCCTCCGAAAAGATAAGAGACTCCACTTTCACTAGTACATCTTGGAGCACACCAATGGGCTTCTTCACAGTTCTATCAGCCATAAGCAGTCGTATCGCAGTCGGTTTTGGATCCCCTAAACCCAACTTCTTGTAAATAGCCAATGGCATCAATTGATACTACCACCCATATCGCGTAACGCCTTTGCAAAATGTAGCAACCTAATGGTACAAGGAATAGTGAAGGCCCCAGGATCCTCATTCTTTTGCACAAGGGACCTTGTAGCAATAGCAGTACAATGTTGCAACTTATCATCATCCTCAAAACTCACGGCCCGCTTTTTAGTCACCAAGTCCTTCATAAACTTCGCATACCCAGACAGTTTCTCCAAAGCTTCTATCAACGGCACATTGATGGAAAGCGGCTTCAACATACTAATAAACCTGAGATATTTGCCTTCTTCAGTCTTCTTTACTAACCTCTGTGGGAAAGGAGGTGGAGGTCTAGGCATCGGAACACCTTTCTGAGTTATCTCTGCTTCCTTCTCTGTCGCATTCTCAGACTCTCCATTTACCTCAATCACATCATCATTTTGACTAGCCTCAACTTCAACCCCAGACGGCATAGGTGGATCAATGGTCTGCTTACCCCCTCGAGTAGTGACTGTCATGCAATGCCCATCATTCTTTGGATTTTGGATGGTGTTGCTAGGAAGTGTGCCAGATGACGTAGGTTTATTGTAGTAGAAAACTCAGTCATCTGTAGCTCAAAACGCTTGATCGACACTGCATGGGCATCAACTTTTTGACCAATACCAGACAAGTCATTTCGCATGTCCTTCACATTCTCATCAATCGCATCAAACCTATTCATCATCATCTGCATCATATCCTCAATAAGTGACATATTACCTCCAACTTCCTTATTACCAGATTCCCGATTTTGAGGAGGTACATAAGGCCCAACCCGATTGTTTCTGTTGCCAGAGTTGTTTCGGTTGTAGTTGTTGTCGCGATTGTAGTTCCTATCCCGGACATAATGACCCTTTCGATTGTAGTTGCCATAGTTCCAACCTTGGTTTCCTTGACCTTGGCGCCAATTATCCATATTGGAACCTTGGGCTCTAAAACCCCCCGTCTGATCATTCACCGCATAAGTATCCTCTTCATAGTAACATTCCGCAACCGGTGGTGGATGTTTAGTCAAATAATTTACAGCATTTACCTTTTCAGTATCTTCGCTTACATGCTTCAACACCAACCCCAGTTCGGTCCTCATCTGAGCCATCTCCTCACGAATATCATCGGCAGATTGGTTAGTTATAGCTTGGACTGCAAACATGTTTCTCCCAGTATCTGACTTTCTAGTGCTCCATGCTTTATTGTTTTGGGAAATCTTCTCCAGTTTCTCCACAATCCGCTCAAAAGTGCACTCACCATATGAACCTTTAGCGATAGTATCAAGCACCGCCTTATTATTGTCATCCTGACCTCGGTAGAAGTATTCCTTCAACAATTCATCATCAATGCGGTGATTCAGAATGCCTCTTATGAAAGTAGTGAACATGTCCCAAAAACTACTCACATACTCTCCAGGTAGTGCTACGAAGTTGTTGAGTTTATCTTTGTGGTACAACTTCTTTGACACGGGAAAGTATCTTGCCAAGAACACCTCAGTTAATTTTTCCCATGTGTAGATTGAGTTATAAGGAAGCTTAGTAAACCACACAGCAGCATCACCGGTCAATGATAGAGGGAATACTCGCAATCCAATGACATCTATGTCCAAGTCCGGTCGACTCACACAACTTTTGCAAACACTGCTTATCATGGCTACGTGAGCATATGGCTCCTCCGATACCAAACCAACAAACAAACCCCTCGTTGTATGCATCTACATCAAACTGCTGGTCAACACAAATGTATGCCCCAGAGGTAGAGAGGGTAGAACAAGAGGTCCTTTAGATTCAATGGCATTAAGTTGACCCTATAGTTATCACGCAGTCTTGGTCCTGGTGGATCATGTACCCTCAATGCATCTCCGAGTAGATTCTCAGCTTGAACCTGATTATTCTCATCATCAACCCTCGGAGGCAGCAACCCAACTACATCACCTATATTTTCTCCTATAAGATTGACTGGGACTCCTTGGTTATTCATTCTTCGCAAAGTTTTGTTCAATTTTGGATCGTAAGGAGTAAGTGGTTCACCTTGGCTCCATGTACTGGGCATACACTAAAGTAGGAACCTGAGAGAAACAAAAACAAAAGAAAAAAGTAAAATTAGGAAATATTTGACTAAAGTTCAATAATGTAATTAAACTTAGTCTAAAAGCCTTATTCCTCGGCATGGGCGCCAAAATTTAATACGCTCAAATCACACCTCCCTAAAGAAATATAAGCGATCGTTATCAAGTAAAGATCCCAACTTGGAGGTTGGGGTCGATCCCACGAGGAATATGGTTTAGACTTAAACTTAACTTACAAATTATATTCTTTTAGTCAACGTACTTCCGAGACAAGTAATTAAAGGGGGAGAGGGGATTTGTGAAAATAATTCTAGAAATTATGTGAACAATCAGTGAGCAAGATTCAAACTTTAGTTGTTATCAAGATGAGATAGAAACTAAGGTGTACGTGTTCCCCATAAGCTCATAACGCGGTAATCCTAGTAACTGTAATCCTTTCCTATTGTATTACATGCAAATTGATAAGTTAGGTATCTCTAATTCCTTGGTCCGGCAAACTAGAGAATTTCACCCCGCACCTTGGTCTGGCTACGTGTGTATAATTTACTAACCCTTACATTTACTCATATTAGACATCACATCGATGTATGGCTTAGTTTTCACCCTCGCACCAATCGACATTAGACTATTAGATAGTATCACACTAAATTTATGTTGATAATTCTTTTCTTATTAACTACCTCCTTGGTCCAGCAAGTAGCAAGAAGGTGAGTTCTAATGTTTGCAACTGCTAAAAAAACTTCTAAACGAAAGAATTATGAATGCATGCAATAACACTATTCAAGAATTACTTAGTTACTATTCATACTTTGTTAATCGCTCATGGTTCCCACAACCCTAGTAGTGGATTTAGTTACCCATAGTAGCAAGAACACAATTCATATTTTTAAATGAAGAAATCATGAGCTTACGTAATGAGAAGAATAAACCAAGAATCTCAACTTGAATTTCAAAGTCAAAATCTTCAAAACGAACTTAGGAAATCAAGAATTGCTAAAATTGCAAGTTAATCTCCAAAGCCAAAAACTAAAATAAAATATAATAAAGTCTAACCCCTAAAAACGAGGTTTACATGCCCTATATATAGAAAAAACAAGTCCCAAATAAAAAGGAAACGAAATAAGGAAATAATGTTTCAGGACGCGGTTTTGATCTATGACACTGACCTACGGACCGTGGATTGACCTATAGTCCGTAGATCCCTTCTGTGGTTCAGGACTTACGTAAATTTTCCAACTTCAAAAATTTCATCTCTGACGCAATCGACGGATCAATAGTACGAACTGTGGTTCAATCCACGGTCTATGAATCCTCCTCCGTAGCTCCATACTTAATATCTTAAAAATTAGGTACTGGAACCCCCTCTCTGAATCATTTGACAGACTTGCAAGACGGCCAGTAGGTCGACCTACGGTCCATCGTTTGTAACTGTAGTTCCATACTTGGTCAAGAATTCCCTGATTTTCCTTCAGCCTTGCCTGCCCATCTACATCTACCATCTACGGGCGTGACTGGACCTACAGTACGTAGTTCACGTCCGTAGATGCCCTTTTCTGCACATTCTTCAGTTGTGTCTCTCAACTTTCACGTCTGAACTTATTTCCTGCAAACATGATAAAAATACATTAATACCAATACAAAATGGCCCTAGACACACACAACTCTAAGTGAAATGTATTAAAATATCGTAAACTCACGGTATATCAATGGAGTGTTACAATATCTCCCCCTTGGGACCCTTCGTCCTCGAATGAGATTCAAGTTGGTTCTAAAAGAGTATGAGAGGAACTAACAACCCAACCTACAATGCAATGCATACAACGAAGGAAGAACTAGCGATTCCAAGCTAGGACGTTCTGAAAACATCATAAAAAGGGTGAATCTAACTCTATCAGCCATTAGGCATGTAATGCACATAAACAAGTAGGAAACATCAACTCCTAGCTAATCATACTCAAATGCATTATAAGGAAGTAGGAACTACATCTAGAAACTCAATATGCATGAAAGGTCAAAATTATTCATGTTCAAGGAGGAACTACCTTCTCCAAGCTAAAATCATGCTCAACACAATCTCATAGAGCTCATATGCAATTCAATCTCAAAAAGCATATCTAAAGCATGTTCATCAATTCATCTCATGAATTCTATAGGTAACTCATACTCAATGCGCAACAACATGAGGAAAATCAAACATGTAAACTCATTTTCTTTCAAAACACATATTTTCATGAACATGCATCACATAAGGAAATCATGGAAACACATGACTCCCAAAACAAGGACAAGCCAAAAGGAACTCATTACCTTAAGCTAGAATAAGAGTAGAAGGAAAGAAATGAGGATATCGGGACATCATATTGGCCTCGGCCTCCCAAGTAGCACCCTCAACTAACTGATTCCTCCAAAATACTTTCACGGAAGCTTTTTCCTTATTTCTCAACTTCTTAACTTGCCGGTCCAAAATCTCAACCGAAACTTTCTCATAAAAAAGACTCTCATCAACTCCCAACCCTTCTAGGGGAACTATGGATGTCGGATATCCAACACACTTCTTAATCATAGAGACATGGAAAATGGGATGCACTATTGCCAACTAGTTCGGCAAGTCCAACTCATAAGCAACCTTACCAACACGTCTCAAACCCTGATATGGGCTTACATATCGGGGACTAAGCTTCCCCTTCTTACCAAACCTCAGTACACCCTTCATGGGTGAGATTTTCAAGTAAACCCAATCGTTAACCTCAAACTCTAGATCCTTTCATCTCACATCGGCATAGGACTTTTGCCGACTTTGAGCTGTTTTCAACTTTTCTCTTATAAGCCAAACTTTTTCCATGGCCTCTTGTACCAATTCGAGACCTATTAGGGCAACTTCACCCACCTCAAACCAACTTATAGGAGACCTACATCTCCTACCATAGAAGGCCTCAAATGGATCCATACCAACACTCGAGTGATAATTGTTATTGTAAGCAAACTCTATAAATGGCAAATGATCATCCCATTTTCCCATAAAATCGATCACATAAGCCATTAACATATCTTCAAATGTTGGTATCGTACGCTCCGCTTGCCCATTGATTTGGGGATGAAAAGTTGTGCTAAGCTTAACCTAAGTGCCAAGACCCTTTTGGAATGACTTCCAAAACTAAGAAGTGAATTGGGTACCACGATAAAAAATAATGGAAAAAGGGACTCCATGCAACCTTACCATTTCTCTCAAGTACAACTTGGCATAGTCTTCCGCCGAATAGGAAACCTTGACGGGAAGGAAATGATCCAATTTCGTCATCCGATCTACTATCACCCAAATAGAGTCATGTTGTCGTCGGGTGTGAGGCAAACCAAATATAAAGTCCATGTTCAAGTCTTCCCACTTCCAATTAGGAATGTCAATGTCTTGGGATAAACCTCTCGGTTTCTGATGCTCAACTTTCAATTGTTAGCAATTTTGATACTTAGCCACAAATCCCGCAACATCCTTCTTCATCCCATTCCACCAATAGACCTCCCGTAAATCACGGTACATCTTGTTGGCTCCCGGGTGAATGGAATACTGCGAACTATGGGCTTATTCTAAAATTTGTTCCCTCAAGTCATCCACATTTGTAACACATAACCGACCTTGGTATCTAAGTACCTTATCTCCCCCGGGAGAAAGCCTCAATGGATTTCTTAAGCACCGACTCTTTCAATTCTACCAAAATTGGATCAAGACCTTGCTTGGCTTTCACATCCACCACAAAAGGTGATTCGGAACCATTGTGAACCATAACACCACCCTTGGTGGAGTCCACTAGTTGAACACCTAGTCAAGCCAACCTATGAAAATCTCGAACCAATTCTTTCTCTTTTTCTTCAATATGAGCAACACTGCCCATAGATAATTGACTAAGAGCTAGCATCCGCTACCACATTAGCTTTACCGGGGGTGATAAAGAACACTGATGTCATAATCCTTCAATAACTCAAGCCATATTCTTTGGCCAAGATTCAAATATTTTTTATTAAACACATATTGCAAACTCTTGTGATCGGTAAGCACATCTAAATGTATTCCATACAAATAGTGTCTCCAAATCTATAAGACAAAAACGACCACCGCTAGTTCAAGGTCATGAGTAGGATAATTCTTCTCATGGATTTTAAGTTTCCTTGAGGTATAAGCAATAACTTTCCCGTTTTGCTTAAGCACACACCCTAGAACAATTCTCGAGGCATCACAGTAAACCACAAAACCATCTGTCCCTTCCGGTAAGGCCAACACCGGAGCGGAAGTAAGTCTATCTTTCAACTCTTGAAAACTCTTTTCACACGCTTCGAACCATATGAACTTAGCCTTCTTTTGAATCAAAGTCGTCAAAGGAGAGGCAATTGAAGAGAATCTCTCAACAAACCTTCTATAATAACCGGCTAAACCCAAGAAAATTCTAATATCCGAGGGAGTTAGAGGTCTAGCCAACTCTTGATCGCATCCGTCTTCTTAGGATCTACCTCAAAACCCATACTTGAAACAATATGACCAAGGAAAGCTATGGACCTTAACCAAAATTCACATTCGCTAAACTTCGCAAAACGTTTTTGGTCCTTAAGAATTTGCAACACGATCCTCAAATGAACAATATGCTCACCCTCACTCCTTGAGTAGATCAAAATATCACCAATGAACACAATCACAAACATGTCAAGGTATTGTCTAAACACTCTATTCATCAAATTCATAAACGTCATCGGAGCATTAGTCAACCCAAATGACATTACTAAAAACTCATAATGACCATACCGAGTTTGAAAAGTCATCTTTTGAATGTCATCTTATTTCACTCTTAGTTGGTGATAACCCGATCGTACATTAATCTTAGAGAAATATCTTCCTCCTTGAAGTTGGTCAAACAAATCATCTATC